CGAAACTAGACCCCTATCTCTGGCCATATAAAAAATTAAATCAAAATGGGATTAGACTACATCTACAAGACCTCGAACTGTAGGGATTCAATCAAGCTGGTGGGAAAAATATTAAAGATAGTTTTCGGCCGGGCGCGGTGGCTCACGCCTGTAATCCCAGCACTTTGGGAGGCCGAGGCGGGCGGATCATGGGGTCAGGAGATCGAGACCACCCTGGCTAACACGGTGAAACCCCGTCTCTACTAAAAATACAAAAACTAGCCGGGCGAGGTGCTGGGCGCCTGTAGTCCCAGCTACTCGGGAGGCTGAGGCAGGAGAATGGCGTGACCCCAGGAGGCGGAGCTTGCAGTGAGCTGAGATGGCACCACTGTACTAGCCCAAGACAGGAAACAACTCTGTCTCAAAAAAAAAAAAAAAAAAAAGATAGTTTCCTATCTATGCTTAATTGCTTTCTACTTGGGAAGTCCACAATGTCAATTACTCTCTAGTAGTGCTGACTCAAGCCTTTGTCAATTAATCTTTATTAAACAAACGTGAAGTCTCACTAGCTGGTCAGGGCCACAGTCAAAACTGCTTACAGAACTCTCTGGGGAGTCTGTAAGGTCTGACATCAGCTGGACTGGCAAAACAGAGTATCTGTGTATCAGTGTACTTTATTCATCTGTCGCTTGATCAGGGTCTGCGGGCAGACCCCGCATCAAACTATGAAACTACTACAAGAAAACATTGGTGAAACTCTCCAGGAAATTAAACTGGGCAAAAATGTCTTGAATAATACCCCCACAAGCACAGGGAGCCAATGCAAAACTGAACAAACGGAATCACATCAAGTTAAAGAGCTTCTAAACAGCAAACAAAACAACTACCATAAAGAGCTTCTAAACAGCAAATGAAACAATAAACAAAGAGAGGACACACAAAATGAGAGAAAATATTTGCAAACTGCTCATCAATAACCAGAACAGCTTTAGAGGATAAGATCAAATAATCTGATTATGAATGTGCAAAGAATGTTTATAGACATTTCTCAAAAGAGGGCATACAATAACAAAAGGTATATGACGAGGTGCTCAACATCATTATCATCAGAGAAATGCAAATCAAAATGACAATGAGACATTATCTCGGCCTCAATTACAATGGGTTCTTATCTAAAAGTCAGGCAATAACAAATGCCGTGAGGATGTATAGCAACTCTACTATTCTCTTGATGTGAATGTAAATTAGTCCAACCACTATGCAGGACAGCTTAGAGGTTCTCAAAAATGAAAAATAGAGCTACTATATTATCCAATAATCCCATTCCTAGGTATGTACATAAATCAATAACCAGACATCAAAGAGATATATTTGCACCTCCATTTTACTGCAGCAGTGTTCACATTAGCCAAGATTTATCCATTCATCTGTCTATCAACAGATGAATGGATAAAGCAAATGTGGTACAAATACACAACGGAGTACTTTTCAATCATAAAAAAGAATAAGATACTGTCATTTGCAACAACATGGATAGAACTAGAAGTCATTATGTTAAGAGAAATAAGCCAGGCCCATGATGGCAACTTTGTATGCTCACACATTTGCTGGAGCTAAAAACTAAATTGATTTAATTCACAGAGATAGAGAGCAGAAGGATTGTTACCAGATGCTGGAAGGTAGTGAGGTTAAAGGGGGAAAGTTAATGGATACAAAAATAATTAGAAAGGGTAAGATTTAATAGTTGCTAGTACAACAGAGGGACTATAGTCAAAAGCAATTATATTGTACATTTTTAAGTAACTAAAAGAATGTTGCTATATTGTCTGTAAAACAAAGAATACTTGAGGCAATGAATAACCATTTATGCTGATATGATTTTATGCATTTATGTGCCTTCATCAAAAATAACTTACTTAACCCATAGATACATATAGGTACTATGTACTCACAAAAATTATAATAAGTAAAATATAAATTTAAAATGAAAAGCGTAAGAACAAACACCACTGGTCCTCATTTCTTCACAGATATATGAATCCAATTGAATTGGCTGTGTGCTGACCACATTGCCTTTGTGAGAATTCCTGAACATAGTTAAGAATTTGTACTACTTCAGTTGAGCACAATGCCAAAAACATGTAGAAGAGAAGAAAAATTTTATTATGCCCAGCACAGCCCGACCTCCTTCCCAATACAGCACAGTGCAACCCAGAGAAACTCCTAACTCTATGCTTCTTCCTCAGGAGAGAAAGAGAAATGGAATGTATGTCTACATTCCTGTCTTTGAGGGACTGTCCAAAGAGGAATTTTGTTTCCTGATGAGTGCTGAAGATATGGTATACTGGATGACAGCTATGCATATTAACATAAGAAGCAATCCTGGTTGGGCTTATGGCTCACGCCTGTAATCTCAGCACTCTGGGAGGCCGAGGCGGGCAGATCACGAGGTCAGGAGATTGAGACCATCCTGGCTAACACTGTGAAACCCCGTCTCTACTAAAAAAATACAAAAAACTAGCAGGGTGTGGGTGGTGGGTACGTAGTCCCAGCTACTCAGGAGGCTGAGGCAGGAGAATGGCATGAACCCGGGAGGCAGAGCTTGTACGAGCTGAGATTGCGCCACTGCACTCCAGCCTGGGCAACAGAGTGAGACTCCATCTCAAAAAAAAAAAAAAAAAAAAAAAAAAAAAAGAAGCAATCCTAAAATCATATCAGAACTAAAGAGACCAGAAGTGCTGAACAACTGTCAAAAAGAGAAACATCAGAAGCACCATACATCCTGATTTCAAAACCTATTATAAAGTAACAGTAATTGAAATACTTTATAAAAATAATTGAAAGTGAAACAAGAAAACAAGACAACAAACCCCCACAACACCAAACGTAAATGAACAGCAAATTTACACATCCATATTCACGGTAGCATTATCTACAAAAGCCAGTAAGTGAAAAGAACCAACTTTTCTTAAATAAATGAATAAAGACAATTTCAAATATATAAATAATTAAATATTATTCAGCTTCTTTTAAAGAAAATTTTACTAAATCCATAATAAGGATACATTTTTAAGGCTTTATTTATGTGGAAGCAGCTTCCAGGCACAAAAAGGAGAGTAACAACATAATCTCCACTTATGTAAGATACCTAAAGTAGTTAAACTCATAGAAACAGAAAGAAGACTAAAGTGGTTAGGGTTAAGTGGAGAAGAAATGAGTAGCCATGTTTCATGGACAATCTGTTAGAATGCAAAACAACTTTTTTTTTTTTTTTAACTTTATTTTAAGATCAGAGTATATGATGTGCAGGTTTCTTATACAGGTAAACTTACCATGGAGGTTTGTTGTACAGATAGATTGTTTTTAATACCATGCATTGAGCCTAGTTCTCATTATACAACACTGAATTATATAAATACATCCTTTCATACCACCTGTAATAAAACTAGAAATCAAAAAGCAGAAGTAAAATTGCCAAATTGCAATATGTGAAACTCAACACACTCTTGAACATATTTTTATTTGTGCTGAAGTTGATTTAATATTGTTAAATGACTATACTATTAGTGATATTAAAATTCAATGTAACTTAATGAAAATAAAAATGATACTTTGTGAAAAGTATTTTACAATTTACTTTTACATGGAATTTAGCATCAACATAGCCCAAACATTTTAGAAAACAAGAACAAAGTTACAGGCACGATGTTTGTTTTTAGAATAGATAATAAAATTCAAACAAACAAAAACAGTGCGGCACCTGCAAGAAAATAACAAATAGATGATGGAACAGAGCCAGAACTCAAAAAACAAATCACTGTGTACATGTTCAAATGATCTTCAACAAGGTTGCAATAACCACACAATAAGAAAAAGACAGTCTCTTCAATAAATCATGTTGGAAAACTCTATATCCATATGAAAATACTGAGGTTGGATCCTTCCCCTGAACCATATACAAAAACTGTCTTGAATGAGTTAAATATAGGAAGAAAGATTATGACATTGATCTCAGCAATGTTTTGTTGCATGTAATATCAAATACATGAGCAAAAAATTTAAAAGCACAGAAAAGTGGGACTACGTTAATCTCTCCACATCAAATATGCAGTAAGAGTCCCACCTAAGCAGCAGAAAAGCCAAAATATATACATATATTTGACAGAAGATAACATCCAGAACAACTCCAAAAAACAAAAAACAAAAAGTTACATGACTAATAGACAGGAGATGAAAATGTTTCTCCAAAGAGGAAATACACAAACAATTATTGAAAAAAAGTTCTAATCTTTAGAAAAATGTAAAGAAAAACCACAATGAGGTATTACTGTGCATTAATTAGGATGGCCAATATCAAGCAAACAAAAAATAATATATATTGTTAACAATGTAGAGAAATTGAAATCCTTGTACACTGTTGGTGGAAAAAACATGATGCAGCCACATGAAAAATGTGTAGAGGTTCCCCCAAAAATTAAAAATCAAGTTATTGTATGACCCAGTAATTCCACTTCTGAGCATCTACTTAAAGTGTGCAACGTATACCTGAAAGAAGTATTTGCACATCCATGTCTACTGCAGTAATATTCACTGTTTCATTCTTGCACTGCTATAAAAAAATTCCTGAGACTTAGTAATTTATTTTTAAAAAGAGGTTTAATTGGCTTATGGTTCTGCAGGCTGTACAGCAAGCATAGCAGCTTCTGCTTTAGGGGAGGCCTTGAAAAGCTTCCAGTCATGGCAGAAAGGGCCAGTGAGTCATCTCACATGGTGGGAGCAGGAGCAAGAGAGCACAAGAGGGAAGGTGCCACATGCTTTTGAAAAATGAGATCTCAGGAGAAGTCACTCACTACGGCAAAGACAGTACCAAAGGGGCTGGTGCTAAACTATTCACGAAAGCCAACCCTGTGATCCAATCACCTCCCACCAGGCCCACCTCCAACACTAGGGAATACAATTTGACATGAGATTTGAATGGGGACACAGATCCAAACCATATAATTTACAAAAGCCAAAAACTCCCACCAGGCCCACCTCCAACACTAGGGAATACAATTTGACATGAGATTTGAATGGGGACACAGATCCAAACCATATAATTTACAAAAGCCAAAAAGTGAAAAAACTCAAACACCTTCAATAGATGAATGATTTAAAAAGATGTGGCTTATACATACAATGAAATATTCTTTAGCCTCAAATGAAAATATCTCGTCAGTTGCTACAATAAGGATAAATCTTAAAGCCATTATTTTAAGTGAAATAAGACACCAACAGAGTAACAGTGTATGATTCCACATATACAAGATATTTTAAATAGTAAACTCCTGGAAAACGGAAGTAGAAAGGTGCTTGCCTACGGTTAGGGTTGTGAAACCTCAGTGGTGCCAAAGATCAAAAAGGGTTATTTGGGAAAAGCAGGCCCTCACCCAGGTGGCCAACTCAAGGGTCCACAGACATGGCTACAGACAAGGGAATGGGGCACCAAGCTTGGTCTTACTGAAGATTATGAAGCAGTTCTGCAACCTCTTTCAAACTCCTTCAGTTATAATCCAAAAGTGGTCCTTCCTGTCAAGAGACCTGCAGGGAAACACACCCAGTCATGGCCCTGGAGGCAGGCCTGCAGGTCTTGGCCTCAGCTGTGGTCCCTGAAGCAGCCCTGTGACTCAGTTCTAGTGCTCACAGCCACAGTCCATGGCCAGTTGTACACACCCAGACCCACACAGAGACTTGTGAAAACTTTTCCCAGGTAGTTAGTAGAAGCCAATCCCATTCATACACATGGCATTTCGCCCATCATATGCAGACAAACTTCAAAACCCTACCCTACTGCCTGCCATATAGATTAATGTCCTCAAGGATATTTAATCTTTCCATGGTCCAGAAAGAATCCATGACTGTCCAAATCTCTGGTAATACAACCATCAAAGGCAGACCCCATATCACTCAAAACGGATGTTTTGTTTTGTATCACTTAATGTTCAAAATAGGTTCTTGAAAACTGCATCTTTAAATGAAACAATGCTGCTATATGCCATTCAAACAACAGACTCAGCAGCACCCTCGTGACCCAGCTACGACCTTTCTTCTTAGCAACCTCAGAGATAATCTCATCAGCCTGGGGACCCAATAAAAGGAGATCTTTACTTGCCAAAGACAGTTTATAGAAACTGTAAGAGTTGTTAGATTCTTCAAATGTACAGACATGGGGCTGTTTCAGGGACCAAAGCTGAGACCAAGATCTGCAAGCATGCCTCCAGGGCCACAGCTTGTACCTTAACATATTACCGAAAGTTTTGTATCAGAACAATTAGACAAGGAAAGTAACAAAGCTTTCCAGCTTGGAATAAAAGTAAAAATGTTACTGTTTGTAGATAATATGATCATGCATATATACAAAACCCTAGAGTAAAACAACAAAAACTGAACTAATAAATGCATTCATTAAGGTATCAGGATACATAATCAACATAAAAATACTTGTGGGGTTTTTTGTTTGTTTGTTTGAGATAGGGTCTCACTCTGTTGCCCGGGCTTATCTCAAACTCCTGTGCTCAAGTGATCCACCTTCCTTGGCCTCTAACCTCTGAAAGTGTGCAGGGATTACAGAAATGAAGCACTGACCCTACAAACAAATATCTGTTGCATTTCCATATAGTAACAACAAACTTTCCAAAGAAAAAGTTTCTAATTGCAATAGTATAAAAATAAGGAACTTAATCAAAATAAATGTAAAGGGCCAGAGCACAGTGCCTCACACCTGTAATCCCAGCACATTGGGATGCCAAGGTGGGGAGAACACTTGAGACCAGGAGTTCTAGACCAGCCTGGCCAGCACGGCAAAACCCCATCTCCACTAAAAATACAAAAAAATTAGCCAGGCGTGATGGCGCGTGCCTGTAATCCCAGCTACTCGGGAGGCTGAGGCAGGGAGAATCGCCAGACCCTGAGGCAGGGTTGCAGCGACTAACGCCTGCCTCCAGCCTGGGTGACACAGCGAATCCATCTCAAAAAATATAAGTAAATATAAAATAAATTTAAAAGTAAAGGATGAGATAAAAACGTATACACTAATACAGTTAAGTTATTGACGACAGAAATTGAAGTAGGTACAAATAAATGAAATGAAAATATATTCCATTAGGATAACTAATATTGTCAAGGAGTGACCTGTAGATTCAATGTGATCCTATGTCAAAATTTTAGTGGCATTTTCACAGCATTAGGATAACTAATATTGTCAAGGAAGTGACCTGTAGATTCAATGTGATCCCTGTCAAAATTTTAGTGGCATTTTTCACAGTAATATAAAACACAATTGTAAAATGTAAGTGTAATCTTAAATAACTTAAAATACCCTGAGCAATCTTGAGAAAGAACAAAGCTGGGGGCATGATACTTTCTAATTTCAAACTTTACTTAAAGGTCACAGTAATCAAAAGAGTATGGTATGTGCATAAAAACAGATACAAACACCAGTGCAACACAACAGGGAGCCCAGAAACACATCCATGCATACAAGGTCAACTAACCTTTGACAAGGCCACCAAAAATACACAATGCAGAAAGTATAGTCTTGTCAATACATGGTACCAAAAAAATTGGATATCCACAAGCAAAAGAATAAAATTAGATTATACCATAAATAAAATTTTCTTATACCACACCCCAAAATTAACTCAAAATAAAACTTAAATGCAAGACATAAAAGCATAAAACTGGCCGGGCGCAGTGGCTCACGCCTGTAATCCCAGCACTTTGGGAAGCCGAGGCGGGCGGATCATGAGGTCAGGAGATCGAGACCATCCTGGCTAACACGGTGAAACCCCTGTCTCTATTAAAAATACAAAAAAAATTAGCCGGGCATGATGGCGGGCGCCTGTAGTCCCAGCTACTCGGGAGGCTGAGGCAGGAGAACGGCGTGAACCCAGGGAGACGGAGTTTGCAGTGAGCCGAGATCGCGCCACTGCACTCCAGCCTGGGCGACAGAGCAAGACTCTGCCTCATTAAAAAAAAAAAAAACAAAAAAACGTAAAACTCCTGAATAAAACATATGGAAAAACCTTGTTGATACTGGTCTTGGCAATTTGGTATGTCATCAAAAGCACAGCAACAGAAGAAAATACAAAAGAGTGGGACTGCATCAAAGTGAACAGCTTCTGTACAGTAAAGGAAAAAAATGACTTTTAAAAAAATCCTACAAAATAGAAAAACATTTGCAAGCCATATATCTGATAGTTAATACCCAAAATGTGTAAGAAATTTCTGCAATTCAAAGCAAAACAAAAATGATGATAACCTATTCAAAAATAGGCAAAAGGTTAGTTGTTTTGTTTTTCCCACAAAGAAGACATACATAAAAGGGAAATCCTGTATGCCATTAGTGAGATATAAATTGATAAAGTCATCATAAATATCAGTAAAAAATAAAAATGGAAGTATGAATACCACCTCTGGGTATACTACCAAATGAAATAAAATTGGTACCTCAAAGAAGTATCTTCAGCCCCATGTTCATTTAGTTTTGTTTAAAATAGTCAAAAACATTTATATATACACACACAGTAGAACACTATTCAGCCATAAAAGAGAACGAAATCTAGCCATTTACAACATTGATAGACCTTGAAGACATTACGCTAAGTGAAATAAGCCAAACACAAAGAAACTGCATGTTCTCAGTTAGATGGGGGGGGAATCTAAACATGTAAACTCATAGGAACAGAGAATAGAATGGTGGTTGTTAGTGCCTGAGGGTGGGAATATGAGGAGATGCTGTTTAAAGAGTACAAATTTTTGCCGGGCACGGTGGCTCAAGCCTGTAATCCCAGCACTTTGGGAGGCCGAGACGGGCGGATCACGAGGTCAGGAGATCGAGACCATCCTGGCTAACACAGTGAAACCCCGTCTCTACTAAAAAATACAAAAAAACTAGCCGGGCGAGGTGGCGGGCGCCTGTAGTCCCAGCTACTCCGGAGGCTGAGGCAGGGGAATGGTGTGAACCCGGGAGGCAGAGCTTGCAGTGAGCTGAGATCCGGCCACTGCACTCCCTCTGTCTCAAAAAAAAAAAAAAAAAAAAAAAGAGTACAAATTTTTAGTTATAAGTTGAGTAAGTCTGAGAAAGCTAATGCACATTAGCATTAGATTAGCAAAACACCATTGTCTTTATAGTAATACTGTAATGTATGCTTATAATTTGCTACAACAGTAGACCTCAAGTATTCTTATGACCAAAAAAATGGTTATCTATGTGAGGTAACAGATGTGTTCATCAACTTGACAATATTTTGTTTCAAAATGTATATGCATATCAAATCATTACATTGTACAAATTAAATATATAGTTATACAATTTTACCAGAAAAATCCAAATCACACAAACCCAGATACATCTAAGTCCTCATTTAGTGTTCAAAATAGGTTCTTGAAAACTGCATCTTTAAATGAAACAATGTTGCTATATACATTCAAACATAACTTGTTTTTATCAACGAGTTAAGCTCTGGTAAAATTAGTTTCTTAAGCATTTATATTTCTTTACTTAGCTTCCAGAACCTGTAATGTTAAGTGAGAATTTCTATACATATGTGACTTATATAGGTATGTGTATGTGTGTGACACACATGATTCAAGAACCTATCAACAATGTTAAGTGAGAATTTCCTATACACATATATGACTTATATAGGTATGTGTATGTGTGTGACACATAGTTCTATACATAGATGGATTATAGTTCAATGACAGAATCCCAGTAGGCTTCCTACTAAATAACACAAAATTATAAGATAATAGTTTATTAAGAAATAAGGTAACAAATGAGAGCTTAACATACACTTAGGAATGTTCTAAGCTGGTTAATGACATAGTACATTTAAGAAATCTAGAAGTTGGGCTGGGCTCACGCCTGTAATTCTAGCACTTTGGAAGGCGGAGGTGGGCGGATCACTTGAGGTCAGGAGTTCAAAACCAGCCTGGCCAACATGGTGAAACCCCGTGGCAGGCACCCGTAATCCCAGTTACTCGGGAGACTGAAGCAGAAGAATCGTTTGAACCCAGGAGGTGGAGGTTGCAGGGTGGCGGAGGTTGCACTGAGCCGAGGTCATGTCACTGCACTCCAGCCTTGGTGACAGAGCAAGACTCCGTCTCAAAAAAAAAAAAAAAAAAAGAAAAATCTAGAAGGTGAGTAGATACTTTAAACCAATGGTATCCAATCCTTTGAGTGTGAGGACTTTTTGCGGTATCACAAAAATTATTCACAAACCTATTTCTTGTTTCTTAGCTCATCAGCTATCATTATTGTTTGTGTATTTTATAATTTTAAGTGTGGCCCAAGACAAATCTTCTTCCAAAGTGGCCCAGGGAAGCCAAGAGTTTGAAAACCTGTGCTTTAAACTATATTATAATTTGAAAATTTGAATATATAGAGTTTAAATCACAAATTTCAGTTTATACTAAATAACATTTTGAAGTAAAATAACATTTTTTTCATGTTTGAAAAAATGCTTATTGTTCTGATAAACTTTTGAGTAAGAGTTTTTGTAGAATTACATTTGCAACTTCTACAGGATTAAAAATCACTAAGTGGAAAAGATGCAACATCTGTCCTTCGTGTTCCTGGGATTTCTAAACCAAATCCCATTATGTCCACTACTCACCTTACATATTTTAGGCCTGATGCAAAAATAATATTTGAAAAAATACTTTAACATAGAGGTCCTCAATAATACAAATACTCCTATGTCTCTAAAAGCAATGGAACAGCAGTCAGATCATGCAGCCCCTTACAAGCGATAAAGTGGACACTGGCTCTCCCTGTAAACTTGAATGGAGATCACTGAAGAAAAAAAGGAAATTCTTAGAAGATTTAAGAGCATGGGACAGAAGATGACTCTATTTGTGAATAAGAGAAAAAATGCAGCCTTCTCAGAAATTATTTTCATTGGCACAGTTTCCCAAACTACATTTGAAGGCCTGGCTTCCTTCCTGACCTTTTGCCTCCTTGCCTGTGTCCTCTCCTTCATTCACTCTCACCTACCTGGGGGTTTGGCTGCTGTCTCATGTATCTTCAAGTTGTAGGGCTCTTTTATTTGCTCCAGACAGGTGACCAGGTCTGGGTTGGAGATCATAAAACCTGTTTTATTAAAAAAAAAAAAATTAACATGACTATTGCTGGGGATACTCCAATGACCAATCTATTACTATGCTAAGTAGAATAAAGAAATTTAACCCAAAAATTGTTTCCTGACAGAATCTTTAGAATACTTAAATATTTTAAATCTGCGGGTTCTAAGTTCCACTACCCAGTACTACTGAATCAAAAATAAGTGGTGCAAATTGGATTTTAAGATGTGGAAAACAGTATTTTACATCACTGAATTTCTAGAATTACTACTATCCTAGAGTGAAGAACACAAATTAGTTCAAGAAAAGAGAAGGTTTATGCAATGATGAAACATCCTAAAGATTTTTTTTTACACCAGCAAATTCCCAATTTTTTTCTTGTAGAAAGGAACTGAAAATTAATTAATGCAAAGCAGAAGCTCCCAAGAGACATTCTACAAAGAAAGAAAATGAAACTCTGAGAAAGTACTAGGAATTACGTATTAAAAGTTATCCATACCCAGGGAGACCAGGTTTCTATAGTTCTCCAACATCACGTCTCTATATAAATTCTGCTGGGCAGGATCCAGGCATTTCCACTCTTCAGGGGAGAATTCTATGGCCACATCCCTGAATGTTAAGAGTTCCTGAAAACACATATTTATCATGTGACAGTTCTTAATTTGACCATAAGTGAAATAAGAGAACTAGTTGTGACTTATGGGACTGACTGGAATTATCTGATAAAATGACTTTTAACACAGTAATGTTATCTAAAGTATTCTATAACTCTGAGGAAAAAGGAGGGCATGCCAGCAATTTTTGTTGCTGCAGTAGAAATATAGGCTACACTCACCTGTCCCTACAAGCAGAAGCTCCCAAGAGACATTCTACAAAGAAAGAAAATGAAACTCTGAGAAAGTACTAGGAATTACGATAAAAGTTATCCATACCCAGGGAGACCAGGTTTCTATAGTTCTCCAACATCACGTCTCTATATAAATTCTGCTGGGCAGGATCCAGGCATTTCCACTCTTCAGGGGAGAATTCTATGGCCACATCCCTGAATGTTAAGAGTTCCTGAAACACATATTTATCATGTGATGCTCTAATTTGACCATAAGTGAAATAAGAGAACTAGTTGTGACTTATGGGACTGACTGAATTATCTGATAAAAATGACTTTTAACACAGTAATGTTATCTAAAGTATTCTATAACCTGAGGAAAGGAGGGGCATGCCAGCAATTTTTGTTGCTGCAGTAGAAATATAGGCTACACTCACCTGTCCCTACAAAACCAAGCAAGCAGGTCCCATGACCTCCTGGAACAAAAAAGGTGAACCCATGTCTCGTTAAAGTATCTGGAAGCCCTCATGCTTGACCCTGGCCTCGCTGTTAATGTCACACAAGAAACTTAACAGGATCTGTAGGGAGGGAACAGGTGACTGTTTCTCTTTAAACTGCCATGTGATTCTACTGGAAGACTGGGCTGAGGGTCACTTAGTTAAACATTGCCTTCAAGCTTCAAATGTGCATATAAATTTGGTATTCTAGGCCTTACTGTAAGTAACACAATTCTGCAGGTTTGAAAAGGGTCCACAAATTAGCTTTTACAGCAAGTTCCGGTTAATGCTGATGCTCCTCCCCTAGATCCATTACAGTACTACTCAGCTAGAGAAAGCAGACAGCAGAGTCCCTACTCCCAACACTTTATCACAATACAAATATTTTCATCTGGAAGACAAGACTAAACAATCATCATCCTGAAAGATGGCATTCTCTGCAAGCCCTTTAAAGTTACAGAGGCTGAGATGGTTGTGTCGTCTGAGTAAGTCTGCATTTGAAAAACAGCACATCCACATGCATTAATGTGATATTTATGGAAAGCACGACTATGTGCCTTGTGAGCATGTAACAGAGCACTGTGCTGGAAGCTCATATTATGTGGTAAGCATTTCATAGCATCCTGGGAGGTGGGTACAAAGTGTGTAATACTTCCCAGGATTTAAATGCAGGGTCCCAGCATTTTCTGTTTTTTTCTTGTTTTCCCCATCGGTGATTTTAAAAATGCATAGAATAATAGCTCAATGTAGATAAAGGGGACAGACATAGAAGAAAGTTTTAAGTACAATTCAGGAATTTTTTATTTTTGTGTTTGTAGTTACTATGAGACTTTGTGAAAAATCCACTGAACTGCAAAAGATGGAGAACAGGTTGCTGGATGGGATGTCTCTAGAAATACTGGTTTTAATTCTTTGTAAAATAATTTAAGGTCTCAAAGTACATTGCTTTTCCCCACTTATCTGCTTTTGGGTTTCAGGAAATTGGGAGCACCAGCTCTGGAGAGAGTATGAATAGCTACCCCAAACTCTCATCTTCTCTAAGCAGTTCTGTGAGGCATTGCAGTGTGGGGTCAGACCTGGACAAGGTTCAGTAGATGGTGGATCTGGGCAGAGTTGGGAGAGAAAATAGGTCCTAGGCTTCCTGCTTTCTAGGCCACTAAGTAGTTTCCAGTTTTGTTCTTTTCTAAGCCCATCCAAGAGAAATTTGATTCTGTGAGTTTGTGTAATTTTTATCTATTTGCCACTTCCCATCTGTAACATACAATAAAAAGGAATTTAACCAAACCCTTTTGTTTTTCCCAGACCAATTATATTTGAAGCTAAATATTTATTCTTAGCAAGGCAAACACAATACAAATAATGACTTCTCTTTGTCCATAAACAGCTCCTGCAGGTGGTGGCATCAAACTCACCAACAATAAAAGGGAAGTAACCCAAATAAAGCTTAAGTCTCCTGAATAGTTTTCATCTTTGTACTGAATACATGACACTGAATTTAATCATTTATTCATGTGCTCTTAGAATGTGGTTCCTTGATGGTAGGGACTATGACTATTTCCATCTCTTTTCCTAATGACCATACACACTGACCCAGTCTGCACAGGACATCCTCAAATGTCTCAAATACTCACTGACGCTGCTGGAGAGTGTCCCCCAGTGACCCCAGGCTGATGCCCCCATAGTGATCCAGGCAGGAGAGACTCAGGTTGACTTGCGGGTGCAAACAGAAAATGGAACTGCCCTGATGGAGCCGCAGATCCTGGATTCCGGGATGTGATATCCCCTGTCCCCTGATCAGCCAACTCAGGCAGGGGAAGGACAAAAGTACTCTAGTAACACAGGGAGGCACAGTTGGGATTATGGCTCTGGATATTTAGTGGCCTTGACTTCCCACTGCTAAGGTGCTTGTTTACATTTATAGATTCTGTCACAGCATTGTGTTCACACCAGAAGCCTCTTACACAGCTGTAGCAGGTCACTGGACAAGATCCAGAAAACTCAAAGTGCTCCCACTCTGAAAGTGGGGCTTAAGATGTCTATGTTGACCTCTCATGATGCAGAAAACACTCTCTATGACTTTCCTGTATCTCTCAACCCACAGTCTGGCCCTGTCTTGTGACTTCTTAGGCAGAGGCCAAGCAAAGTGCGCAGATTCAGGTGAGATCAATGTGTGCTGCATTCTTGAGTTACAGGAAGCAGAGTAAAATCAGAGGAAAGACCTTCTCATGAAGCCTCCTTCAACACATTCTAAAGAATATTTTGAGCTAAAAGGAAAAAATTGGGGTAACATAAGTACAGAGTTTGAGCCAAAGCTTGAAGACTGCAATCCTGGAGTATAAAGTTGCCCTGAATATACACCTGAATTAGAAGCAGCAAGCATATTTTTTAAAGGCAAAAAGGAAGCCAGAGCAGACTGATAGAAAGGTGTCAGATATTCTTATTGGTTTATAGAAGTAACATTGGTTAGTGATTGGTCATATACATAGTTAAGTTATAGGGATATAGGTTATAGTGTCCTTACGTGGTACTATTAGGTTAATTTACAGACACTTGTGGCAATAGCAAGCAATTTCCAAAAGACAAATAGTTCAAGGAGGGGGAACGGGCGACTGTGGTCTCTTTTAACACATCTCTGGGTCTGATACATTTAAAAACTTATATTTCTAGATAAAAGTTCTTTTATCAAATTCCAGACATAAATTCAGAACTAGAACTGCACATTTAGTCTTGGAGGGCTGGTGAGCCATGCACATTTGGGCATTTGGGGAAGGGGAGGTGGGAGGGAGAATTTCAGGTTTAATCGATGTATGTGTGATTCTTGTTAGGTTTGAGGTCTCAAATCTCTGAAATCAGTGTCAGAATGAAGATGCCAGGAGCACTGAAGGAGGTGGAACAACTGATTACTGTCCTGAAAAGTTATTTTTGTAGAAATTTAGCCTAACTGCTCTAGAAAGGACTGTAGATCCCAAGAGAGAGACCATTCTGTTTGCAGATTTGGGAAACACTTCTGCACGCACAATTTTAGGTTGTGACTGGAATCTTAAGAAAGAATGTTTTCTGAAGTGAAGACTGCTGGACATTTTGTGTACAACATCTGGTAATTCTGGACAGTGTGTGGAAAACATAACTAAAAGCTAAAACATCTGCAATCCAAAGTCTCCACAATAACAGAACCGCAAGAAAAGTTTTTGTTGTATAATTAAATCAAAATGTATGTGCATCACAATCTAAGAGAATGTAAACACAGAAAGTCACTATAATTAAATCTTGGCAGAAGCCTTGAAAGCACCATTTGTTATACACAATTTATTATAATTTCACCTTGTAATCTGAGAGGTCATCTGGGTTTTCTAATTTTTCAATTAAAGAAAAAACATCCACATCTTCATGACAGGATGTAGATTTGTAATGTGGTTAGGTACCTGCTGGGAAGGCAGCCTCCTAGTCTCTCACAGAAACTGTGAAATAGGGTGTATGTTTCAAGTATTTACATTTCAAAGCAATAGTTCCCTGTCCCAGATGAAGGCAATTTGGAGCCAAAAAAGACAAATGACCTATTTAACTGATAAAAAATGACTTACACATATTTCAAAGAAGAAGAGAAAATATTTAAATATAAAAGTTCTCAAACTAAATGCTTTAAGAAAAGGGAGAAGAGCAAAATTCTTCCTATCTCTAAAGAGAAAGCATTAAGCCTTTTCTAATTTGTGTTTGCTCCTACAACATCCAGGCCTAAAGACCTTGTCTTGAACTCACTAACGTCTGAATTTCATAGGCACCTGAGGGATGGACACCGGGAGAGAATTTGTGGAAGGAAAAAGCAGAAGAGAGAAAGCAGCTATCAAGAGCTGCTGGGTGGCAGCAGGGCAGGACTGACTAAAGCACTGGCTTCAGCCTACAGGTACAGGCTGAGGCAGGGCTATGCTCTGATTCCTGTATCTATAAAGACAGAAGACATTAGATCATGTCCAGAAGGTTGGTGGGTGGCTGAAGCAAGTTCCTGCTACAGATTCAGTATCTGCGTGCTGAGATGAGCCAGAGACTTCTGGGCACCGTGTGTTTTTGGCAGAAAACGCTAGAGCAGCAGCCAAAGGGCACACAACTCCTGAGGGTGGAACCCTGTACTGAAGGAGTGTGGCAAATGCTAATACCGGTGGGCGCGCTCAGGAGTGGGTTAGCATTGGGTGGGGGCTGGCAGCAGGGTGAAGGGAAGGGATGTTTCTCAAAACTCCTTTCTCTGAGTTCTCAGTCCCCCCCCAGGAGGAGACCACAGGATCCGCGTAAGTGCAAAATCCAGTCGCGCCCCGCAGACACTAGGTATCTTCTCCAGCCCACAGGCTCAGCCATGTCTTTCTTCCATTGGTGAAAACTTGGTGGAGTTTCCTCAACACCAGCCAATGCTTCAACCTCCCAACGGGGTGTCCAGCAACTCACTAACGACTCTACCCAGAGTCAGCGCAGACCCACAAGCTCAGCGCCTTCCCGCAGCTACCCCCGTGCAGACGCCAGTCCCTGC